ATTCTTGTAGCAATGAAAACAAAAAGAAAAGGAAGCTCAGTTCCAGTTAAACTGAATACAATTCAACAAAGTCCATGCTCAATAATCCAGGTATACAATCCAACATTTTTCAGTCAGGTCATCTGGACAGTTTCTTTATTTGTGCTGAAACGTTTCGCCTTCGATCCAGAAAGCTTCATCAGTCAAGGAAACACACAACACAAAACTGATTTTTCCCCCAACAGCTTACTCCAAAGTGGAACAAACCAGTTTTGTTGGTGCTAAGATGGTCTCTTTGGTACGCCCCCTCCTCCATTGCCGGCCCTCTTCCTTGTTGACAGTCATGTCAAACTGGCTGAAAACAACAAAATCCATGCTCAATAATCTGAAACATTTCAGCACACACAAAAAAAGAAACTGTCCAGATGACCTGACTGAAAAATGTTGGATTGTATACCTGGATTCTGGATCGAAGGCGAAATGTTTCACCACAAAAAAAGAAACTGCCCAGGTGAAAATTTTTGAATACAATTCAGTTCAATCAAAATTTATTCTGATTTTGTTCAGTTTCTGTCTCCAAGATTTAGGTGAAAAGACTTGGGTACTATTGGGGTGAAAATAGTCTCTGAAGCTTTTTTTGTCCCAGATTCTATAAGAACAAATGGACCAAGAAGATAATCCCTAAAAATCCCTGGTTTAACAACATTTTGCATGAGTTTATCAGCAAGTAACATAAAGTGAATAAGGCTTTTATAGTTTTAATAGACCCTTCTTGGCTTAAAAGATCATTTCCGTCTACGTTTTTGGATTAATGTATGTTAATGTTGTAATGTAATGTAGGTCTAAAAATTAGCGAACAACCCTGGATTGAAGTTGAGGGGCAACATGTTGGAAGAAGAAAATCTGCTTTCACATCTGAGAGCAAATTTCTTCAAAGTGGATGGTCCTAATCAGACCTTTTCTGCAGGTATTTAAAGTCATGACAGAGTCTGACAGAGCATCGGCAATTTGAGTTATTTTTAACTCATTTACTGTACTTCCGGTGTTGTGCCAAAAATCAATTGGCTGCCAAATGGCGGCTGCGGGAGAGTGCATGGGAGAACTTTAACAAGAATTTAACAGGATTAATACTTAGAAACAATTATTTGTTTGCTCAGCATTATAGCAAACGTGTGTCTCAGCTGAACTTTTCCTTAATAAATGCACTTTAATGGTCAAATCAGCTGCATTTCGCCTGGGCGGTGCGGCGAAATGCAGCTGATTTGACGTTTGCTCCTGGAGTTCTGGAGCGAGACGAAGGTGGCTTCTATGGCAAGCCAAATGTCTCATTAATAGCCACTTTTACCTATTAATGAGACACTTGGCTTGCCATATAACCTCGATGGCCCTCGAGTGGCTGAAAATGGTAGTGTTCAATATTTTCCATGCCAGAATGAATGAAATCGTCAGATCTCAGCCAAAAATAAATATGGGAAAAAAAACATATTAGTCACTTTGTGCAAATTTATGCACAAAGGTGCAACTTATACAGCAAAAAATATGGTACTCTGCTCATTACTGCTGACATGGATAAACATTTTATTGTATCTGCATTTATTCTTAGCCATAAATTCAAATTGACAATGGTGACTGACTTTTCCAGTTGCCAAGACTGGATATAAAATGTTTATGGAGAACAATCTGAAAGCTACAACTTCTTGATTTTTTTTCAATTTTTATTCTTGACTCTGATACAAGAAAGTGTCCGACGCATCACGCCACACATGAGATTAGACTCAAGATTTATAAAGAAATCCACCTCCAAGGCTTGATCAACCAAATGACTCCTTCAGTCTTGCTGTGAAATAGTTGCCAAGCTTTGACTTGTAACAAGCCCACTGAATATTTCCTTTAAGTGAGCAGTGTAACCAGTGCTTTTAGTTCTTTATTTTTTCCCTGACCTCACTTAACAAGCTCAGATTTTATTGGCAGCGGAAACATGCAGTAAATGTTCCTTAAATGTAATACAGAAAAAGTTCAAATGAGATAAAAGTTGTTCATTCACTTTTCTTTGTGTGCAAATTCCAATCAGCTGGTAGTTTTATCAGCCCGTAAAGCCTGCAGCTTATCTCATCAATACAGCTTGGATGGCTTGATACTATGACGCAACAGTCATAGAGGCGATTAGAAAAATGAAACAAGTAGTTAAAAAATCGTAAATTAATTTTCAAGAGCCATATGCCACACGGATCTTCTTTGAAATGTAATTATATCAGTGTAGTCTGTTTACTGCTTTTAGTCTTTCATTTGAATGTAAAGCAGGTTTTATAAAAGAGCTTAAAAAATATGATCAGGATTAATTAGTTACTGATTGAGGGCTCATGTGCCTCTGATTGCTTATTGGAAAACTTCTTTTGTGGCTTTCTGCTTATACTTGGAGGCATTAGCTGTAAGATGCAGATTAAACTATAACAACTATAAATCCTGCACAGGTCTGCGCATGAAGCTTCAAAAAGATAAAAGAATATGCAAGCAAAACGCCAGTTATTGTGTTAGCATTGTAAACGAGCTTGGTGACGATTTCATATGATTGCTAAACAACAAAGCACTGAAGGAAAAGTCTTTTGTGTCTCAAAGCACAGAGAATGGAGAAAGAGACAAGTTCTTTGTCCAGGCAAGGCTAATGGCTAGCCAAACGAGCACCTGCTTTATGTATATTTATATTGTTTTAATTATCAGAGACATGCAGTAGTGGTTTAGGAAAGTGGTTGATGTTAATTTATTAAATGAAATTCATGTGAAAATATTTATGAGGCAGGATCCTGATCCATGATGATTCAACAGCATCCTGTAGACAGTCCAGTCTGGCTGATTTAAGTTTTCAAAGTTCATTTATAACAAGAACAAACAAAACTATATTAAAAAATAATGTTAGCCAGGTGTATTGCACACATCTATATAAAATTAAAATAGATATAATAACAATAGTCAGTCTGACAGATATTGATATTCTTCAGTGCTGGTGGGGGCTCATTCTGCACTCCACACCAGTGGAGGTGTTGTTCTGCAGGTACCGTAATTTACAGACTATTGAGCACACCTGAATATAAGCCACGCCCAATAAATTTTAAATTTTTTAAAAAATTGTACATATATAGGCTACACTTATCTATAAGCTGCAGGTATCCTCATTATAACATGAGATATTTACATGGAAAGATTTTTTTTAAAACTTTTAATTAAATACGTATCGGTAACACAAATACGTACAGTAAATGTTTTATTTCCGAACAGTGCCTGTAAAACGGATGGTTAAAATAAATAAATAATTACAGTGGCGTACCAGGAAAAATTATTTATAGCTGTATTCCACCTGTGCGCTAAAACCACTAAAGTCGTCCTCTTCAGTGTCAGAACTGAAACAGCTTCAGAAAAACTTCATCGCACACGTCCTCAGTCTCTCTTTCGTTGTCGCTGATGATAACTTTTTGACAGTTTTAAAATGACCAGACTCTGTTTTTTTATTTTTTTTATTTTATTAAAGTGAATTAATCAGTGTTCTGTTTTTAAATTTCTGAGGTGCTACAGATAAGTTATTGTGCGGGCTAAAGCTTAGCAACAAAATGGCTAACATGGCTAATTTTCAGGTCTCTCTTGTAAATGAGTCCCCGAGGCTCAGTGGGACTAACCTGTATAAATAAAGGTTGAATGAATGAACGGCTGCAACATAGACTGTATTAGTTTTGTTGTTAAAGTATAAATTGCCTTAAATGTTTCT